GGGAAAGAGAAAAGAAAGAGGTACAGGTCATTTTTGGGAAAAAAAACAAGGGAGTTGATTTCATGTTATAAATTGACTCTCACAAGAGAGCTCTTGATAATGTGGGGGTAATTATGAGAAACAAGGACAAGCAAAACACAGCAACACATTGGAGAGAACAAGGATACTTTGAATTCTTACACCTCCATGCAAAGAACAATAACACACAGATTCTGAAACCTCTGCGTGCATAGTCCTCTTTTTTTTTTTTTGCATTTATTGCCTCCACAAAATAACCAGGAACCCTTGTGCTGAATATTCATTAGGACTAGAAGAAGCCTGAGTTTTTTTGTTATTTCAAACTCCAAGAGTTCCTTATTAAGCACAATATTCACTGTTTACAAAGGGGGCTTATGCTGCAGGATCATCGGCAGGTATCCTGGTTTTCCCTGATTAAAAAAAAAAAAAGCAAGTTCTCTGATAAACCCCACCAATCTGTGATTAAAATTAAATTCCCCCCCCTGCCCTGCTTGTGCCCTCACTCCTTTTTTGTTATTTCAAACTCCAAGAGTTCCTTATTAAGCACAATATTCACTGTTTACAAAGGGGGCTTATGCTGCAGGATCATCGGCAGGTATCCTGGTTTTCCCTGATTAAAAAAAAAAAAAGCAAGTTCTCTGATAAACCCCACCAATCTGTGATTAAAATTAAATTCCCCCCCCTGCCCTGCTTGTGCCCTCACTCCCCCCACCCCAGCCCTCCCTGCTTTGCTCATGCCCCTCACAACCCCCAACAGAAGGCAGCAGCTGCTGCAGCAGCAGCTGCACAAACCTCCCACACTGCTGCTGCCAGCTCAGGCTGCTCCTGACCCTCCCCCCCACCCCATGACCCACAACCCCCCCAGCCATGCTTGGGGTAAGGGGGAGGGGGCAGCCCCCTGCAAGCCCCACTTACCTCACAGGCTCCAGGAAGAAGTGAGCCCAAGCCAAGCCTTGGCTGGCTGACAGAGCCTCAGGCCCTGCCCTGCCCTTCCCTCCAGGCAGGGTTGGGGGTTTTGCACTCAAGTCATCTCTTGCAGGCTGGAACTCAGCCAGCCTGCACCGCTGTTTGCGAAAGGGGGAAACCCATGGGTCTCTCTGCTAAAAGGGAAAATCCCTTTTTTCTCTGATAGAAGTCAGGAAATCCGTTGTTCTCTCCATGCGAAACGAAAAACCTGGATCCCCGATTATCAGTATAGAACAGTGACTATTCCTCACAGTGTCTTACACAATCAGGACACCCAACCACCCAGAGTGCAGTAAACAGCTACTCAGATTGGAAGTCAGAATTTTCTAGTTTGACACTTGGTTCTGCCAGACACCATGAATCCTCACCTTAAAGCTACATCAGGCAGAACAATTCTTACCCACCTTTCTTCCTGCTACAATAACTTTGCCCTAATAGCCTCTGAAAATAAGATTAGAGCCACTGTTATATCTTTGTACATATTAGATTAAATGAGTTTTGTAGTCCAGGGATCAGAAGGCCAGATAGGTCTGGTCACGAAGTTAATTGAGGGTGTGTGTGTGTTCTGCGGACATTCATATCCAGAACATATTTATATAGTAAGAAGATTAAATAGTTGGGTTAGAAACACAGCTCCTATCAGTTATGAGCAATGCAATTCAATCCATAGCTCTCCCTCACCCCCAAGAGACATGGTACTAGGTAAACAGATTTCTTTTATAGTACTAACATGATAAGTATTTCCAAACATTACAGGAAAGAGATTTTTTTCAGCCACTTAAGAACTTTATATGGGATTCCTCATTATTCTATTAACATGTTTTGTTAAAGCGTGTCAGTTTTAAAGTCTTCCTTAAGATACTGCCAAAATGGAAGGCAAGTCTGACAAATGCTAAATTGAAGACCATTAGTTTCACCAGCTGAACTTTCTATGCAGCAGGGACCACACAGTAAAACCAAATGCTGTGGAAAGGATATGGTAGTTCTGCTTTGCATGCAAGTCTCACATTTTAGGTTTGTTATGTTAATCTAACTGTGCTCTGTAGAAAGCAAATGCATGCACTCCCCCTACCCCTATATGAACTTGAGCACACATAGGATTCTTGATGACTAGAGTGTATTGGTAAGATTATTCAGGTTCATGGATGCATTAAATACCTGAATGCATATAAACTGCTTCCTTCCCTCTCTTGGAGCAGAGATATCATCAAATAGTTAAGCTGAGCATCTTCTTCCAAATTGAGGAGGTTCTTTAATTGTTCAGCATGAATAAGCAGCTTAAAAACACTCCTTTTCACCTCATTGTCATTATCTGTAGAAATGATAACAATTTTTATCATTATTCAGTGATAATAATCACTGTCCAGAGAATAAGAACTTTAGTCTCAGAGTTTTATTAAAAAATAAATAAATAAAAATTATGGAGGTTACTCAAGTCTCCTAGGAGAAAGCCTCCCCTTTCTCCCCCTCCCAGGGTGGGGCTAAGGGAGAAATAAGAAATTTGTCTCCTTTAAAAAGAAAAAAAAAAAAAAAAGCCAGAATATTTTTCCTTGCATGAAAAGGAACTGCTTGCTCTCTAGTAAGAGACACTTCATTCATCAGTTTTTCTCCAGCAAGAAGAGGGTTCTTTAAGAGCCAGACACCAAAACCCAGTGGTTTCTGCACTTATGTGCAGTGAGTAGAGATGTTTTAGCTGCACTACTTATCTGCATTTAAGATCAACAAGGTTTGCCCATCCCCATCAAGACTGCAGAACTTCAGTACAGGCTTTCAAGTGTTACATGGACACAGTTACAGAAGTGTGTTTTTTTATAGGGAGAGCAAGTTTTGCACACTGATGACTTAGTTTTCCAGAGCAGCCGATTTGGTACAAAGAGCTGTACAACAGACCTTCAGTTTTGAACTACAGAAGTTTATTGGTAATACCAGAGGCGATAGCTCCTGTCATTAACAGTTTCTTCATAGATAACAAACCAATAGAGACATCTAACAACCCTAGAGTTACATAGTTAGCCAAGTAACCCTTTCTAAGTATCAAGCTCCAGAGAAATTACAATTTGTTTCTCTAGTCTCCACTAACACTGATTAATAGCAACTTTCATCACAAACTCTGAAACAGATCATATAAGATGCAAGGAATATAGTTACTACACAATACAAAGGAATGGTCAGCTAAACTTGGGGCAAGGGGAGTAACAAAGGAATGGTCAGCTAAACTTGGGGCAAGGGGAGTAACAGTCAAACAATACTGGTCCAACAATAAAGGCTCTCAGGGCAGAGCTCTCAAAAAAAAAAAAAAAAAAACAACAAAAAAAAACCACAAGCTTCCCCATTTGGTAAGCATTTGCCCTGACCACAACAGCAGTAGCTCCATTCGCAGAGGCCAGGCACAGCTGCTGGGAGCATCTTCAGAAGCACTTGCGATGCACGATGGATGGCCCAGACTCGTCATACTCCTGCTTGCTGATCCACATCTGCTGGAAGGTGGAGAGAGAAGCCAGGATAGAGCCCCCGATCCAGACGGAGTATTTGCGCTCTGGCGGGGCGATGATCTTGATCTTCATGGTGCTGGGCGCCAGCGCCGTGATCTCCTTCTGCATGCGGTCAGCAATGCCGGGGTACATGGTGGTGCCGCCCGACAGCACCGTGTTGGCGTACAGGTCCTTGCGGATGTCCACGTCGCACTTCATGATGGAGTTGAAGGTGGTCTCGTGGATGCCGCAGGACTCCATGCCCAGGAAGGAGGGCTGGAAGATGGCCTCGGGACAGCGGAACCGTTCGTTCCCAATGGTGATCACCTGCCCGTCAGGCAGCTCGTAGCTCTTCTCCAGGGAGGAGGATGAGGCGGCTGTAGCCATCTCCTGCTCAAAGTCCAGGGCGACGTAGCAGAGCTTCTCCTTGATGTCTCGCACAATCTCCCGCTCAGCCGTGGTGGTGAAGCTGTAGCCCCGCTCAGTCAGGATCTTCATGAGGTAGTCAGTCAGGTCACGGCCGGCCAGGTCCAGGCGCAGGATGGCGTGGGGCAGGGCGTAGCCCTCGTAGATGGGCACGGTGTGGGTGACGCCATCCCCAGAGTCCATGACGATACCAGTGGTGCGGCCGGAGGCGTACAGGGACAGCACGGCCTGGATGGCCACGTACATGGCTGGCGTGTTGAAGGTCTCGAACATGATCTGCGTCATCTTCTCTCGGTTGGCCTTGGGGTTGAGTGGTGCCTCAGTGAGCAGCACCGGGTGCTCCTCGGGGGCCACACGCAGCTCGTTGTAGAAGGTGTGGTGCCAGATCTTCTCCATGTCGTCCCAGTTGGTCACAATGCCATGCTCGATGGGATACTTGAGGGTGAGAATACCACGCTTGCTCTGCGCCTCATCACCCACGTAGCTGTCTTTCTGCCCCATGCCCACCATCACGCCCTGGTGCCGTGGGCGCCCCACAATGGAGGGAAACACAGCGCGGGGCGCATCATCACCCGCAAAGCCCGCCTTGCACATGCCTGAGCCGTTGTCCACCACCAGCGCTGCGATCTCCTCGTCACCCATCGTTTGCAGTAGCTCAGCCTGGGGATGCAAAGGGGAAGGATTAGAGGCGCGGGGTAGCCACCCTCCCTCAGCCCGGGGAGACCAGCCCACCCCCAGCAGACCCCAGGAGGGAGGGGGACAACCAGGCAACCGCCCTCCCTGTAAGGCCCGGCCCGGCTACCTCAGCTCTCGCTGTTATTAACTCCGCTGCCCCCACCTCGCGTTACGACTTCCGGCCAAACTGCCTAGCGCGGCCCCTTTTCTACCTCCCGGAACCGGAAGCTCGACGCGCGCTGCGCGCGCTCATTGGCTGCCCGCCGCGAATCCCCACCCCACCCCCTCCTGGCGCTTCCTGCTTCCGGTCAGCGGCGCTTCCTTCCCCGACGGGGGGGCGGGGGGGCTA